CTCTCACGCTCACCTTATCCTTCATGGAGTAGATTTACGCCTCCAGGGTGTTCTTCGCCTCAGCAACAGCCCGCTTCTCCTATACCCCCTGCCTTGTCCCACACACACCCTTTATCCTCACATCTCTCCTCGCATCTCACCTTATCCTTCATGGAGTAGATATAAGCCTCCAGGGTGTTCTTCGCCTCAGCAACGGCTCGCTTCTCCTCGTCCCTCTTCTTCAGCTTGTCCAATCGGATCTCGGCATCTGTCATCTCCTCATCCGTCATCATGCGCTGGAACCCTTCAGTCGTATCAGACACCTGCAGAGGCACCCTGATCGTCCTCTTCCTTAGCTTCTTCCTCATCTGCACTTTAGGAGCCTCTGCCTCCTTCTCTCCTTCCTTCTCCCCCTTCTTCTCCCCGTCTTTCCCCACCTCCTCTCCACCCTTCTCGCCCTCTCCCTTCTCTCCTGCGCCCTCGATCCCAACGTCACTGCTGCCCTCTCCTGCTGAAGCATCTTTCTCCGCTGCAGCTGCCTCTGACCCATCATCACCAGCACCACCCGCAGCACCGTCACCAGTAGCGTTGGCAGCAGTGGCATTCGCAGTTGCATTGGCAGTGGCGTTGGCAGCGGACGGGGGTGGGATAACCGGCACTTCAATCCATTCAGAGAAGTCAACGACCAGCTCTGCCTTCTCAAGCCCCACTGTGCCGCTGCGGGTGAGGTGGAAGTGCAGGCTCGCCCTGATGGGGTGCGTCAGGTTGTACCCCGAGTACCTAAAGGGGGGAGAGGGTGAGGGGGGTGACAGGGGAGGCGGGTAGTGGGGTTGGGATGACGGGCACCTCAATCCACTCAGACAAGTCAACGACCAGCTCTGCCTTCTCCAGCCCCACTGTGCCGCTGCGGTCAGGTGGAAGTGCAGGCTCGCCCTGATGGGGTGCGTCAGGTTGTACCCCGAGTACCTGGAGGGTGAGGAGGGGATGGTGTGCAGAGCGCACGTGAATGGATTCATTCAGAAAAGTCAACGACCAGCTCTGCCTTCTCGAACCCCACTGTGCCGCTGCGTGAGATGGACGTGCAGACTCGCCCTGTTGGGATGAGTCAGGTTGTACCCCGAGTACCTGGAGGGTGAGGGGGGTTGGGAGGGAGCGGGGGCGGGATGACCGGCACCTCAATCCATTCAGAAAAGCCAACGACGAGCTCTCCTTTCTCCAGCCCCTCTGTGCCACTGCGAGTGAGGTGGAATTGCAGACTCGCCCTGATGGGATGGCAGGCCGCATTCTTTGAATGGCAGTGGCGCAGGCCCTGTGTCTTGTGGTAAAGGACAACAACCCAAACCCGTCCCAATCCCACCACAACACTCACTTGGCAATGCCCTTGGCCACGCCAGACACGTGCAGAGTGGAAATGGGAGCACCCTTGGGCCACCGGGGGGGCAGGCCCTGTGAATCATCGTACAGGAACGAGAGGGTGAAGTCACTCGTTTGCTCCTTCAGCGACCGGATGATCTGCAGAGCAATGGAAGGGGTAAGGGTACAGCAGGTAAACCCATTAAATTATCTGTTATAGGTGAACCTACTGCAATTCATAGCTACACACACCCAATCATGCAACCCCTCAAATGTAATCCCTACAACATTCCGAGACATTAAGAAATGGAAGTATGTATTACAGCGTACCTTAATGGGCATCTTCTTCAATCGTGGAAACAGCATCTCCTCCACCACAGACCCTTCTGATCCATCCACTGCCTCGCCAGCCCCACCATCACCCCCAGCACCCGCATCCACAGGCAAAGGCTCCACCCGGTACTTGACAGCAAACGGCAGCCCGTCGATCATGCCGATCCGACGGTTGAGCTTGAATCCGTCACTCAGGTTCGCTGCCAGCAAGGACGCGCCTAGAGCGAGCGCCTCGTCAGCATCCAGGTGGCGATCCAGCGAGCGGTTGCCACCCAGTGCCTCCGTCAGCACAGCCTGCATCCAATAAGATCAGGCCAAATCGAATCAGACCCAGGATATGTGGGGAGGAGAAGGTTACCCAGTGAGAGGTGAGGACAAGGAAGAGGGGGCACAGATGGGGCATGGAGGAAATGGGGATAGAGTTGTACTGTGAGGTTTACAAGTTCATTCTAGTCGTATTGGTCATGCGTGCCACGCTGCGTGTGGTGCTTGGCTCAACCACGATGGTTACCGGAGCTTTGGGCACACGGGTGGCTCCCCCCACGAGCTCCACGGCATAGATGACGTCCACAGTGGTGTTGGCGCCTGCTATCGCCCCTTGCAGCGATTCACCTATGTCTCTCTCCAGCCCACTACTCACCTGCACTTTAGGAACACGAGTCGCTCCCCCCACGAGCTCCACGGCATAGATGTCGTCCATGGTGATGTTGGCGTCAGCTATCGCCCCTTGCAGCGGTGCCACCACTTGAGGCCACACATCCGCACACAGCTCTTCAAACTTCTCCCGAGTGATGGATGATCTGCAATGTGCCATGCATACAACGCAAGCAACACACAATACAGCAAAATCTTGATGTGGAGAGGACCAATTGGATGCAACTCTTCCAACGCATGTGCTTTCACCTGTGTTCAGACTCAAATTTTTGAAAATGCTCATCCTTCTCAGCACAACTTTTTTACAACCTCAAAACCCTGATAGTATCCGACATCTCAGCCTCTGTCAAGCCTTAGCCTCATACCTGAAGTCATGATCATCGTAGAGCGACTCCACAGAGATGGGGGCCTCGGAGTTGGCGCTGAGGATCTCCTTGGTGCGCTTCACCTGCTTCTTCAGCTTCGCCATGGCCTTGGGCGACGTGCGGATTTCCACACCGCTGTGCTTCGCGTTGAACTCGTCCGCGAAGTGCTCCAGCATGCGCGCCTCCAGCGTCTGCCCCCCCAGATCCGCGTTCCATCTCACGGATTTCACCTGCGCAGGTCGCATTTGACGCGTGCAACGGGTATAGTTTTTTCTCTGAATTTGAACATAAGCCCGTGTCTGAGCCATCTCACTTGTTGGCGACAAGGACACAAGGACACAAAATAACTGAGTTCAGCGATGAGGAAAGTGATGAGTAGGCCAACGAAGACAGATGAGCAGGAAATTCTGCTAGCGAATCAGAAAGACAGGATATTGGTGCGCTCGACTGACCTGAAACTGGTTCACAGTGATGCTCTTCCCGCGCTCCTTCGTCGCGTACGCCGAGTAATAAATCACGGCCGCATAGGTCGACGTGGCACCCATGTCGAAGATAACCACATGTCGACTGCCATTGCTGAAATCCTTATCCATGCCGTACTGCAGCGCAACTCCCGCATGCTCCTGAATCAACGCCATCACATTCACGCCAACCAGAGCGCCAGCGTCAATAATCGACTGCCTCTGGCTCTGGGAGAAGTACGCGGGAACGCTAATGACAGCGTCCACAATCCCCGTTCTTCCGTGAGCATCCGCTAGTCCCTTGGCGTAACCCAGCTGCATCGCGAGCAGCTCTTCAGCGGAGTACTCCGTCGAGCGGTCGTGGGTTCGAATCCGCACGGGACGCTTCCGCTTCAATTTCTTCGCCTTGTCCTTGCCTGACGACCGCTCCAAAGCCGAGTCGCCGTCTGTATCTGACGTCACCTCGCTGATGACTTCCGACTCCATTGAGTCGTCTTCCGTTTCTTCTTCCGGCCTCCCATCCCCTCCGACGACATCGTACGGAAGATAGCTGCTTTTTAGTAGTTCCTTAACCTCATCTACTGGAACGCCGACCATGTCCCTTGCTCGTGTGTACACGCGATCGGGGTACCTCGCAGCGATTCCAACGGCTTCCTCTGACAGGAGCCTATCGCCGTTGGATATCGCCACGACAGACGGAGATTTCCGCTTCGACATTTCGTTGATCGCGATCGAGATCGGACTCTGACCGGGCCGCGGATTGACCACAGCGACCTTCATGGATTCCGAACCCAGGTCAACCGTGAACACCGCTCCGCTCACGAACGGAACCAGCGCTAGAATTGTGAGAGTTACCCCCAATACCATTCGCCATCTTATTTTCTCGGAACTAATCCGACGCGGACCCATGGTCGGCGTTCTGGCTTCACGGTACCAGCTGACTCTGGTCGAATACGCGAATCTGAATTGCTATCCGGCGTTCCGATCAGGAAAGACTTGACAACCTGAGAGTTGTAGCTGGGGGGATGAGAAACCTGTGTCTAGGAATGCTGAGAATGTGGGAGGAGAACGTGATTTGGCAAAGTTGAAAATTCAGTGATCGGTGTGAAAAATGTTGGAAAGAGGGAGATCCCGAGGAAGCGAAGAGGTTTCGCGAACGCCACGTTGATTCGACGAATTGAAAATCCATGCGGTGGACAGCAGAAGCCAGCGAAAGAGAAGGTTCTGAACCAATCATATTACCGGAAAGACGTGGCCCTTTCGCAAATGCACTTTTGGTGACAGGCCAAAATATTTGGATCTCATTTTGCAGAACAAGGCTCTCCCTCACACTTCTGTGGCTAACATCGCTTTTGATTTACTTGCCATCAAGCACAAGCAGTCATGGCTTCTGCTCGCGTGCCAGAGGCGGTGGCCAACGAATGCCTGGCCCTTATATTCCAAATGCAGGTAATATCTTGAGTTATGCCTCGTGTTCCTAGTTTGGGCTTTCACGAAGCCTGACTTTGAATCCTCAGATAAAAACGAGAAGTGGAAACCCGATATCGCAATGTACAAGGTGGTGTGCTGCCTCTTTGTTCATCAAGCTCGCGAGACGTTTGGATACAATTGAGGCTGAATGCGCAGACAGTCCTGAAAGGTGATAACACATGGCGAATTAAGAAGGTCTATAACTGATGTAATATTGTTTCCGACGACCAGGATCTTAAATGCGTCAACTGTCCTCCAGCCCGACCGGTCAGACTGCTTGTTTCTGACATTGGTCCTACTGTGGGTTGGAAGCAAGGTAAGACGCCTATTATGCTGGTAATTCCGACATCCGTCGCCATACGAGTCTTACGCGCCAGTAGTGCAGATGTTTGAAACTCAGCAAATCTCCTTGACGGAGCTGAAGGCTTGTTCATCCCGAATCATCAGCGACAAAGTTTACACTGCTAAGGACTTCGTGAATGCCGTAAGTTGCGACAAATGTATGCTCTCACCTGGTACTGTAACAGTGTTCCTTATCGCCCTATTACTGATTTCAGGAGATTGAGCTTCTGGGGGTAAGAATCTTCCATATCTGCCATAATGCTTCTGGCAGCATGAGCTCCCTGACAAGACATACCGCTGCATTGAGCAGACGATAAACTTTGAGATTGAGACAGGAAGGTCATGTCCTTCAGTCCTGGAGGACCTGCTGAGAGAGCTCAGGTTAGTTGCCAGTTTTCCGCTCTATGTTCGCTTACTGCTGCTTTCAACGGTGCATCGATTTCTGTTTCAGGCGAGTTTCTCGTGTTGGTGACTTCATCAAACTAAGTACGTGCTTCACTATTTACACCTTGATGCACTCTGATTCCAAATTACGCCAACATCTGTCTCGAGCAGCACTGCCTGCCTCCATCATTGTGAGTGCAGCGACCAGTCTGATGTCATGGAGAGTGTGATGGCTTTGAGAAAACATGCTTCACTTATGAAACCTTCAGGTTGTTGCCTACCTTATTTCCGTACCCAAAAAGCAAGCATTGTTCCCGGTGCTCCAATGGGGTAAGTCGGAAGATGTTACAGGTGGCTGGCTGTGAGAACCTCTGGTTAACCTTTAACGCCCCTTGCAGTTTGTGCAATGAACAATCAAGACCAGGACGAGATCCACGGCGTCACAAGACTTATTCTGCAAGCCATTCTTGAATAACCTGTGGAAACAGCTGAATGTTTACACTATTTAGTAACAGACAACATGGGGGCTACAATGCAAATAACATCTCTTTCTTGCACACAAACAATTGCCTTGAGGCTTGAACCATTTGGAATGGCAGAGGCGATGATGACCATCAAGTCCCTTGTCTGCTTTTCTCATTAGCAGCAGTGCCCCTCATTAGTCTTCATCCATCCCAATGTGGACTTCAGGAAGACTACGGTAGTCATCTTCCAAGGGCTTTGTGACAACCAATGGTCCTGCATCGATTGAAACAGACAACACTAACACCCGTCACTAGTGCAGTGCAATCATGGGGACTAGAAAAAAACAAGTGATGCACACGTGAACTTACTCATTGTGGCATCGGATGAGAACGTGAACAATGCAGCATCAGGCTGCCCTCGGGACCGGGTAGAACTTTGGAGTTCTCTAAGCACCTCTGGTGACATCTGTATACAACAGGAAGCAGACAGAGGGTAAAACATAAACTTTTCTTCCCCTGCTTTGAGTGAAAAGTGATGCAGCAGCAACACTGTCACAATGGCTTGCATGAATCTGTACCAAGTGATGGTGCTGACGGCTGGTGATGAGAGACTTGATATCAGCCTTTTGCTCTTGGGTCAACTCATTCTTGTACCTGTTAGGCAACACAAATAAGCAGGAAACATGTGGTAACAGAAAATCAACGAACTTTGCGCAAACAGACGCAAACACAAACAAGAAAAACGTTGAATCCTTAGCATGAAAAATACCTTTGGACAAGGGAGAGCAAGCATTGGTGCCAGATTACTGGCAGCTCGCGGGTCTCAGAGCGAAAGCGCAAAAAGTGTCCAACCACCGCATCAATGACTCGATATGGCAGGGCATACTTCTTGTCCAGCAGAAGCTTCATGAAGTAGCTGTTCAAGCAGGGGAGAATGTATGAGACATGCCATGATTGTAGCTTATTGGCTTGTAGTGCTGAATGCAAGGTTTCACTCCAACAATGTTCACCAGCCAATGCAATGATCACAGTTTAGGTTGATTCCACTGCTCATGGCTTATAATACTCAGTGCTCACCTGTTTGTGCCAGCATATTGCATCTCTGCAATCTTCATCAGGGCAACACTGCAAGATGTGACAACAAGAAAGGTAGGTTGATTCAGTCAAGCCACATACTTGCGCGTCATGATTTGTGCAAATGACGGCATGCGAATAGGAAGAAAGGAACGAAGAAGGTAAAATCGTTAAAGCTCACCTGGAGTGCAGCACGGGAATCGAGACTTTCTGAATGACGCTCCCTACAATCACCGCCTCCCGTAGCGTGCAAGTCTGGGACTGGCACAGCGGCAGCAACACCCCTTTATAGAATGCGGCAGGCTTATAAACCGCCTTTTTGAGCGACTGATACAGTGCAAAGTGCAGCTTCTTATTAAGCCTAATGTCCCGACGCACTCTCGGCAACAGCACCAGCCGGTAAAACCTCTGGGCGGCACGAGCGTTGAGATTCGACGCAAAAAGACGAGTGGCGGCAAAGACAGCAGCAGGCGTCCAGCTGTCAGGGTCTGTAAGAAAGAGCACATCCTCCCAGTTGCTAAGTGCTGGCACGATCTTGAAAGCCTTTGGGACCTTGCCGGACCGGTACCGACTCAGAAGCTTCCCCACCCTGCGGGGTTGATGACAGGAAGGCACGGGTAGAGGAGAGACAGGGGAAGTAGAAAGGGGAAAAAGGAGGACTGAGGGAGGAAAATGTAGAGTGGTGGGCAATGAGGGAGAGGACTATCATCCTTGATAAGCCAAAAGTACTTTCACATCCAGGAAAGGGAAGAGGAGGGCAGACGAGAGGAAAGAGGAGGGGCGGGAAGGGGAGGGGAGGGGAGGGGAGGCGAGGGGAAGGGAAGGTGTGGGATGGGAAGGGAGGGGGGGGAAGGGATGGCAAAGCTTCAGGCATGACTCATCCTCGGTACACCTTCATCACTTTCTCGAAGACACCCTGTAAGCCAGACTCACCCTCGGTACACCTCCCATTACTTTCTCATTCACTTCCAGGTGAATTTTCATATTCTCATAATTTACTCTCTTTCCTGCAGTCAAGACTCACTACACTCACCCTCGGTACACCTCCATCACTTTCTCAAAGACACCCTGTAAGCCAGACTCACCCTCGATAGACCTCCATCACTTTCTCATCCACTCCTGGAATCCGCCTCTCCGCCTCTTCACCCCCTTCCCCCCCTCTCACACCCCCCCCCCCCGCCCGCGCCCCCAGCTCCCCCCGCCGCCCCGCCAGCTGTCGCCTCCTGGATCTTCGCCATGATGACGTCAGCCAGCGTGCGCTGACGTGGCGCCGCGCCTCCCCCTGCGAGGAATACCGCGATGGCCCGCTCGTCCTCCTCCGTCACCTCGTCCGCCTGCCACGGAGCCAATCACACAAGAACACGTGGCAAGTTCAGGTGCCACGGGGCAACAAGGCAGCACGATTGTTCAAGGCAGCGCGCGGAATGGGAGGCTGGGGGGAAAGGGGGGAAGGGACCGAGAGGGTGGGGAGGGAATAGCGGGGGAAGATGTCTTTTACACTCGCTGTTTCGACCCAACAACTCACCACAGCATCGTTATACTCCCCGTCCTCATCACCTTCATCCTCATCCTCATCCTCCTCTGACTCTCCCTCCTCCTTTACCTTTACCACCGACTCACCACAGCATCGTTATACATGCTCGCCGTTTCTGAAAACGCGCCATCCTCCCCATCCTCATCATCTTCGTCATCCTCCGCTTCTCCCTCCTCCCTCTCCTCCCCGTCCTCTATATCCTCCCGCCCTCGTCTCGCGTCACTTAGGATTTTCTCCACGTCCGCAGCCGCCGCTGCCGCCGCATCTGGATCCCGCACTTCCAGCTCCTCCCCCTCTTCCCCCGCTTCCTCCTCCCGCTCCTCCTGCTCGCGCTCCCGCGCCGCCACGGCCGCGGCGAGATCGAACGCCTCGCGCGCCCCGTCCAGGCCGCGCTCCTTCTCCCTGCAGGTCGCGACAAAACGTGCGATGCAGAGGTGCTCGTTGAGGGTATCGCGACAGGACATGCAATGGATATGATTGGATTTCGTGCGAGTAACGAAATGTAAGGTAATGCAGGGTTTCAGGTGTAAGTCCAGGTGTAAAACCAACTAGGGCTTCCAGGGTCTGAAATTCGGGATTTTTCGAAGCAGGGTTAGGGTTGGAGGATGCAGGGTTCTGGGTAAAGGTTTAGTATTGAGAATGGAGTTGCACGGGATTCTGTTAGTTGCGCGGGAGGGTGAGGGGGACTAGGAAGGTTCTACCATTTTGTTCAAGATTCTGGTAATCACAAAATGGTGATCATGGGAACACTCACATCTCCCGCGCGACCTCTTGCTGCTGCTTGCGCGCCTCCTTAAGAATCCGCGCGCTCATCCCCGCGCCGATCACCCCCTCCTCGTCCCCCTCCCCTTCTCCCTGCCGCCGCCGCTGCTTCGGCGCGCGCCGCCGCTTGGCGGCTTGCTCGAGAAGGAACTCGTCGTCCATCTCCTGCTCTAGCGTCGTCGCGTGCGCCGCGCCGCCGCCGCCGCCGCCACCGCCGCCGCCGTGCTTCGTGGAGACCTTCATGCCCTTCGCCTTCAGGTGCAGGCGCTGCTGCTGCTGCGCCGCCACGCGACCCCGCTTCTTCCCCTTCATCGCCGCGAATTACGCTACCGGAGGCCGAGGCCGAAAGCACTCACAGAATCGACGGATACACCGCGAACGAGGGGCTATAAGTCGAAGCGGAGGACGGGAAGAAGACGGTGCGGAACGGCAGAAGTGCAGGTGAACCGAATAAGACCACGGAATGCTGGTGTAAACAAGCTGATTCCAAGTCAAGTTGTAAGAATCCTCAACCACAGGGTTTATAGGGAGGTTTGTGGTTGTGCTGGTGTTTTGTAGTTGCGAACTGGTTACCTCATCGTAACCTCTTCGGTCAAATTTAAACGAGCTGTGCGAAACCGAACGTTCCAGTAACAAAGCGATTCCTGTCAAACAGCTAGGGTAACAATTCTTGCCACTGTAACTCTTTCGCGAGATCCATCAGGCAGATGTTCCCAGGGCTGCCTCCACGTGGCTCAGCCTGGCCATCCCACGAAACCTCAAATTACCGCCACGCTGGCGCAGGACTTTCCCCTCTTTCCCCGCTTCTCCTTGCTCCCCTCCCCGCGCCCTCATCCAATTTACCCTGCAGCACTTAACGAAAACGCAAATCAACCGATTCGAACCGAGCAAAGCCTTACTAAACCACCTCTGAGGGTTGCTGCTGCCATTCTTCCCTGATCCACGGCTCATCCTCCTAGTTCCTCCTCATCAGCGGTTCCTCTCAGCAACTATTTCAGTAGTAGCCATATCCTTCCACCTAACATCAGTGCCCGCCACAATGTTTGCGCTCGCCTCTTCCCGCGCCGTCACGTGCGCGCCCGCCGCCGTCGCGCGGGCGTCGCTACAAGCCGCTCGTCCCGCCGGCCGCGTTTCGTTCGCAGCTGTTCGGACGGCCGCTCCCAGCGCGCTGCGATCAGACCTCGTCTCTGCTCGCCCCGCCATCTCCTCCCTCTCGTGCTCGCTCGCAGGTACATCGACCACTAGCTAGTCGTCTCCTCGGTCCCCCTCTTCGCGGATATTATCGAAAGCGGCTTTCACGTTCCTCCACCTCCGCGTCCTCCCCTAGCCACTCACCCCGACGCATCTTCCGCGTGCGATTGCTCGCACGTAAACCCGTCGTCTGCACGTAATATTTGTTTCTAAGCACTGCAAAGCAAGCTATGCAGGACGTTGACCCTGCGCCTGGGCTCAAAATCCTCAGTCCTCGCGTGGTTAGGGTTAATACCGCTCATGGTTAGAGTTTGGCGAGACACGACCTGCTCTCGATTAATCGTGACTTCTCGTTTAAATCTTTGGGAGACGGGTGTTTTCAAGGTCACGCATGAGGTTAATAATCTATCACAGGCATTGGAATCAAAAGTCGAGATACGAGATGAAGCGCGCCGAGCACCTATTATTGCATGTGCTAGGGCGTGCGAATGCGGGTTACAAGTATGCGAAGTTGCACTCGCGATGCCTTCAGGGTTCGTGGTTTTATGGTCTTTCCAGGGTTCGTAATCAGCCTGTCTTGGCTCCGCTCTGATCAATGTAGCATTGCTTGTTAGGAGCATGTGCCGTTTTATGATCTCCCATCCCCCTTCCCCCTCTTCCGCCCCATCACCCACTCCCCCTTCTCCCCCCTCACTCTCTCTCTCCCCATCCGCTATCTCCTTTCCCTCTTACTCGCTATTCATTCCACACTTCAACCCATCACCCCCTTCCCTCTCATTCCCACACACCCCTTGTACCCCCGCTTCGCGGTTCCCCCGTCGCTTTTGGACTCTATTTTCATAGGAAGTATTGGCAGCAGGCACAGCTCCCTTCCCTTCCTTTTAAACCCCACTTCTTCCTCTCACATTCTCCCTTACATCTCCCCACACCTTCCCCCCCGCGCTTCCCCGCACAGCTCCCCATATCCACCCTCACTTTCCCCCCACTTCAGCCCTTCGACTCTCCACACATTTCCAAGCGCCTATTGCTCTCTGCGGGCTGGATTGTGCAGGAGGCACCATCATTGGCCACCAAGCGCCACGTCCCACATAAACAGCATCCCTTCCCCTTCAACTCCCTCTTCCATCCTTCATCACTCATTATCCTTCTTCTTACCGTTTCCCCCTCTCCTCAACTCCCTCCCCCTCCACCCTGGCCGACATGACTCCGCCTCTCCCCAGAGAGCTCTGGGCGCCTGATGTTCCCCGTCTGGCAGGAGGCCTGTGGTGCGGGCAGGAGGCTTGTCGTGTGGGCAGGAGGCACCAACATCGGCTGTACCAAGCATTTGGAAGATCGTTTTCATCCCTGCCATTCCCCTTCTCGCCGCTCCTCACTTGTTCCCCTCTCCCCCTTCCCCATGCCTCCTCCCCAATTCCCCACAACTGCAGGGCTGCGCCTCTCCCCTGAGAGCTCTGGGCGCATGGTGTTCCCTGTGTCAAGGGGCTCTCGGCTGGTGGTGCGTGCAGGAGGCACCAGCATTGGCTGCACCAAGCGCCACGCCTCCCGCAAAAAGCGCGCCAGAGTGTCTGGTTACCGCGCGCGCATTGCCACTAAGGATGGGCTCAATGTGCTGAAGCGCCGCCGCGCCCGTGGCCGTAAGGTGCTTGTGCCCCAGGCCTCGTCGCGCACAGGGAAGCGTGCTTAGAGGGGATGATCTGGTCGCACACCACTGTGGAGGGTCTTGGCTGGCAACAGCACTTGGTTCATATGTGTAAGGTCCATTCAGAAGTATTGAAGCTTTGTAATTTACAAAAGAACTACGAAGAAGGGAATATCTGGTTGTCTAAGATAGTGTGGCTTGATTACCAATGTTTCCTAAATAGTTAGTTTATTGTGTAGAATATCATATACACTTCCTAGGAACTCATGACAGTAGCGGGTGAAACACAGTCCTCCACATGAGAATACTGACGGTTCCTCATGGACGGCCTCGATCAGTTCAACCTGGCGTGCACTTTCACTTACGGTACAGATTCTCCCTCAACTGCCATCCCCTGGTAACCTCAAGACAGAATGCGGCACGAGTGCTCCAATCAAGATGGAATTGGGGAATGTTTGCAGGTTCTATCCGACAAACACGGATTACGGGTCGCATCTTCTCGCATGACCTTGCAGCACGAATTCTGCCATCGCAGGCATCCCGCTGGACGCATTAGCGAAAGCAGGGGTGGTCAGAGCAGTGGTAACTCTTCCTGGTTTCGCTTCAAAACTCGCAAACAGCAGTCTGTCAAGTCGCACTTCGGCAGATGTGCTCTGGCATTCTCAATGTGCATTCGCGCTGCGAAAGCAGAATTCGCGACTCCACGATGTGCACTGCTACCTGGTCGGTTCTGGCTCTTTCTCGCCCGTCTTCTTTCCAGCACCACTGCTTCCCCCCCACTGCGCCCAGCCCAGTCAAGTCCAGTCGAAACCTGACTCTTCATTTCTCCCGCCCGCCCGTCTCTCTCTGAACATCTGTGCTATCAATTGCCCCTCGTGCGGGATATGCGGCAGCTCTGTTGATGCACCATGCATCAATTTCGCCCCGCCGGCCGTGCATCACCTTGCCCTTCGCACTTGCGAATTTGGTGAATTCGCATCTGCTACATATCACTCCACCATGTCATTGTGAGCAAAAGCAGCGTGAGCTAGTAATACCTCGTAACTCCATCCATCTCTCAAAAAGCTCCGTAAGCGCTCTTTGCGCGAATCTGCTTACCATTTTATTCAAGCAAGCATCACATCTCTCTACCTTACGAGCCCCAGTGGAGTAGTAAACTAGGCATTTGTTGACTTGCACGACGAACAAAGGTCGCATCAAGATCCATGGCGAGCCAAAGACCGCCCGCATCGATCCATGGTGTAACCAGAACAGTACAAGAATCCAAGGGTGGCTCGTGTCGACTCTCAGCCCAGCCTCTAGTCTTGTTCTTCCTTCTCCTCGTTGCAATCCCTTTTGCCTCTCCCGCAAGCGATCCAAACGACGGAATTGATCCCTGCACGACACTCGCGAATAAACTAGAGGCGAGCGTGGCAGCGTTGGCGAAAAAAAACATCATCGTCGATGGGTCCGTCGGTTTCGCCACCCCTACGGAAGCGAGAAACTGCCTACGTAACTTCCGCTTCCGGGCAGACCGTGACATCCCCGCTTTAGACACAATCATTAACGCGCTCGACAACCATTACGTGTACAAGCACCTCGCGGTAAAATCACCCGATCCGAAGCTTCCGAGCGACGTCGACATCATAACGTATCTAAAATCGATTCGCGAAACGGCGGAGCAAGGCGAGGGGATTAACAGTCTTCTGCGGTTCCACTCGCTTATCTTCCGCGCGATCGACTCGTTGAACGACGGCCATACATCCATGACGAGCAATTGCTTCTATGGAGTCGGGCTCTACACTCTCCCGCTGCCGCTCGTCTCCGTGGTTGAAGACGGAGAGCAGATCATCCGAGTCGGAAGCACGGAATGTAAGAAATTAGGTTCTGTTCGGTTTGATTCATTGTGGTTCGGTTTCTTCGTTGCTCGGTATGGTTTTCCGTTGGCATCCAGCATAGACTAAGTGTCAAAAGCTTTCATTCGTTTTTTGTGAATTGCCCTGCCTGAATCCCACCCTCTCTACGCTTTGCCCTCATCTCTCTTCCCCGCTTTCCCCCTGTGCTTTCCCCGCGCTTCCTTCCCCCCAGTGCTCCGCGGACGCCCGGACCTTATCGCGCGTGGTCTGTTCGGATTCAACTTTTCCCGCTACGAGGGCAAGCGGGTTGTGACTATAGAGGGCGAGCCGGCGCTCCCGTTTATCGCGCGGTGGGCGGACAAGTACGTGGGGACGTTCCGCAGCGCGGGCGCGCGCTTGAACGCGGCGCTGGCGCACCGCACGGTGAAGGGGCTGGGGGAGATCGACGGGAGCCAGGGCGCGTTCACGGTGCGCTCGATCCCGCCGCGGAAAGACGCGCTCGTCATGCAGATTCAAGTGAAGTGAGTTCTAGATTCTTTTGTTTTCATTTCAGGGTGTCATTCTGGAAATCTTGTGAATGTAGATTCAGGCAGAAGATGCGCTCGTCGTGCAGATTCAAGTGAAATGAGTGAATCCAAATTTACCTTTTTGGAATGTCCGAGATCCGACGTTTAACCTTTAAGCAGATTCTGTTAGCTAAGCGCTCAGTAACGGGGATGATGAATGAGCCAGTGAATACAAGCGTTTTCTCCCCTGGAGTATGCTGACCCTTTTCCGCTCCCCCTCCTCCCCCTTCTCGTCCCCTATCTCCCCCTTGCTGCAGCCCCGCCGCTCCCGCCGAGCGGGTGGTGGTTCCGTGGATCGCGGATTTCCCCCGAGGCGCGTTCAGCGACAGCCGCAGCTACTGGCTCGCCTTTTGCCGGAAAGCGGGGGAGGGGGAGGACGTGGGGGGAAGCACCACGGAAGGTTCCGCTGCTGCCTCTGGCGGCGATGGCGGTGGCGGTGCTGCTGCCGATGATGAAGCTGATGACATCAGTATTATCAGTGGGAATGCAAGTGGTGATAATAACGGGGCTGTTAGTAACGGGGGTGACAAGCTGGCGAAGGAAAAGGGAGAGCTGGGTATCAGCAAGGCGGGTGGCCTCCGAGGGTTTTCCGTAGCAGTAGGGTCAGGAGGGCCGAAGAAGCGAGTGCCTTTAGCGGATGCGACTGTAGTGGGGATGCTGGCGCCGAGGAGGGACCTGGATCCTCCGCCCCTAAGAGTGCGGGAGGTGGGGTTGGTGGAGGAGGAAGGAGGGAGAAAGGAGGGACTAAATCCTCTAACTGATGGTGCCGCGGCTGCTGGTGGTGCTGGGGGCTCGACTGTGGGTGACGCTGCTGCTGGGGGAGGTGCATCTGGGGCGGGTGCGACTGCTGCCGACCCTGCCGCCGCCCCAGCCGCCCCTCAGCAGACGGTGCGGCTGTCGGCAGAGGGCGATCTGTTCCCCGTGCTGCTGCTGCCGGACGAGACAGCAGTGGTGTGGCTGCACACGTTCAGCACCAAGGGATTGGATATCTCCGCCACGGGGCTCACCCCCTCGCAGTACCTCTACGCGGAGTCCATGCGCGCCCTCAGCCTTGCCACAAGGTGAGCCTGGGACCATTTCCCCCTGTTCCCCGTGCTGCTGATTCTACTGATGCTGCCGGACGAGACAGCAGTGGTGTGGCGGCACACGTTCAGCATCAAGGGGCTTGATATCTCTGCTACGGGGCTGACTCCTTCGCAGTACCTCTATGCTGAGTCCATGCGTGCCCTCAGCATCGCCACGAGGTATGTTTATGCCTTGGATATGCCTGAGATCTGGTGCTGCTGGTGCTGCTGTTGTGGGATGAGACTGCAGTGGTGTTGCTGCACACCTTCAGCACTTAGGGTTTGCATATTTCTGCCACAGGGCTTACTCCCTCGCGGTACCTCTATGCCGAATCAATGCGGGATATAAGCCTGGCTACAAGGTAGGTTCACAGCATGGCATGATGGTTTCCTGCTGTGTGTAGTGTAGCAAGGCTCCCTAGTGGGTTTGCAACAAGGTACGCTGGGCTGCTTTCAGAATTCCAAGTCCCATGACACTAACTCCCTCCTGTCACACCGAATTTGCTATCCCCCTTACAGGCGTGGCAAGCGTATTGTGCTGGACGTGCGGGGAAACAGTGGAGGCATTATCCAGACCGCCTATGGAGTGGTGAGGGCATTGGCAGGGCCTGCTAAGACTCCCCCCGGGCAGCTGCAGATGCCGCAGCAGTTGATGATCGGGAACGAGTACACCGCGCGACTCATTAAAAGCAGCGCCACTTTCTTTTATAACGCGTCGAATTATTGCAACGAGGCGGAGACCGCGGGGTTGAAAGGACCGGCTGATTTCGGTCCGTTTCAGGAACTACAGTATTCAACAGACGGGCAGCCGGGAAATTATTCTGCACGGGTGAAGCTGACGGAGATGCTGACGCTGTACGACCAATCGGATGATTTCAGTGGGCTGCCCATGGTGGTCGTTTCCGACGGAACCTGCTTCTCTGCCTGCGCGGTTCTAACTCACATTTTAAAACGGAAAGTCAATGTCCCCATGGTGACTGTTGGAGGGCTCAAGGACCGGCCAATCGCAGTGAGCTCCTCGTGCCTAGGTGGCACGCTCGGCTCGCTGGACAACGGGATCTCGCTGCCACTTGTCGGCACGCCATTGGCCGAGGATCCCCGGGCTACCAAGCCATTCAAAATGCAAATCGACCTGGCATTTGCTATGCTGCAGGCATACAGGCCCAGGGAGGGCGGCGTGAGGGGAGGGGGTACAGGGGAGGAAATCCCGTGTGAGTTTGACTTTCTGGAAGCGGATGCGCATATTGATTTGACTATGGAGATGGTGGACTTTCCCAAAGTGCTTTGGGCTGCTGCGGCTGCCCTGCTTCAAAAGGGGATGAGCTAAGATGCTGCATCTAGTGGGTTACCACTCTGTTTTCGAGGTTGAAAGTTTTGTGGGCTGCCAGCTTGCCAGCCTGCGTGAGCTTCCAAAGTGTTACGGGTGCAATTGAGTGAACGAACGAGAATTGCACTATCGAAGCAAGAGTACAATGAGCGAAGGCATGAGCGAAGAATATATAGCGAAACTACAGTGGTAACGGTAATGGACTGTGGTTGTCGCGCGACGGGCCTGGAACTGAGGTTAGGGAAAGTGTCGAAGCGAAGGCCCGGAGCGCGGGTTACCCGCCGAGCCGTGAGGTCGGGGTGCGACGTGCGAAAATGGCGGGCGGATTGTCGATGCGAGGATTGCGAGTGGTAACGGTGTTGACTGTGGTGCTACAGTGATGTACGCGTTGAGCAGGGATGCGAAGTAAGGAAAAAGAGATTTTCCTTACACTACCCCCCCCCCTAAGGACGTCCTCCTTACGAAAGTGCGTGTACATCCCTGAAGTTTCGGCTGCGCAGATACTCGGTGAGGACGGGGTGGTTTTCGATTCTATCCAGGGGAACCCAATTATCTTCGGTGGGTGTACGGTCTTTCCAGCGAATCAGTAATTCGATCCTTCGGGCTCCTCGAGGGTCACGGACTCGGTGGCTTAGGAATTTTTCGGGGGTGATGATTGGTTCGGTTGGCGGTCGTGTCATGCTGGCTGGGCGATTGCGTGGCAGTTGGCTCGTGGACGGGACGTAAGGGCGGAGCAGGCTGACGTGGAACGAGGGGCTGACGTACCAGTCAGCAGGGAGGAGGAGGTGGGCGGTGACGGGTGTGAGCATGTGGCTTATGCGAAATGGCCCACAGGTTCGGGGGCGGAGTTTTGGGGTAATGGGCAGTCGGAGATTCTGGGTGTCGAGCAAAACTAGGTCGTCGGGCTGGTAAGTGACAGGTCTGCGGTGGCGGTCGGCGTTACGTTTAGCGATGATGTTAGCTTTTTTAATTGCGTCTGCTGCCCTTGTCCGTGCTGCTTGCAAAATTTCGGCGAACTGTTGCGCGCGTGGAACCGGGTTGTCGGGGTTCGAGGTCATGGGTGCTGTTGAGTCTTGTCCGTAGTTCAGGTAAAATGGTGACTGTTGGGTCGTGGCGGATGGGGCGTTGTTATATGCGAATTCGATGAGCGGCAGTTGCTGTTCCCACGTGTTTGGGTCGTCGCACGTGGCCCGGATGAGCTGTTCCATGGTCTGGTTTGTCCGTTCTGTCTGTCCGTCTGTTTTGGGGTGGTACGATGAACTAAACTGTAGTCGCGTGCCGAACTGCTGCCACAGGTTCCGCCAGAAGTTGCTGGTGAATTTCGTGTCTCTGTCGCTGATGATTGATGCTGGTATCCCGTGTAGTCGAACGACGGTGGAGATGAAGAGGCGGGCTGTTTCTTCGGCTGTGATTGATTTTTTGCAGGCTGCGAAATGTGCCATTTTCGTCAGTCGATCGACGACGACCAGGATCGCGTCATTCCCACTCGTCCCGGCCGGTAACCCCGTGACGAAGTCCATCGTCACCTGCTGCCAAGCACGCTCTGGGGGTGGGATCGGCTGCAACTGTCCCGCCGGCCGCTTCCGTGATGACTTCATGACCTGGCAAGTGGGACACGATGCCACGTGTCGCTGTACGTCGGTCAACATTTCGGGCCAGTAATAATACCGCTGCAGCTGCTGCCGTGTTTTTTCTACCCCGAAATGACCCGAGGTAACCCCGTCGTGTGCTTCCTGTAATAGTAATTCCCGTAGTAGTGTGTACCCTGGTACCCAGATGCGGTCGGTCCCGGCTTTTACGTAATAGACTCCCTTGGCTGCTGCGAACTGCTGCGAATTTCCTCCTGTGAAGAATGGGTCGGTAAATAGTCCTGTCAGTAGCGGGCTGGTCTGGGCGAGTAGTATCGCGTGGATTTGGGCAGTGGGGCGGGTCAGTGCGTCGGCGATGTTCGAGGCTCCTTTTTTATAGGTGACTGTGTAGTGGAAGTTTGACTCGAGGAAATCGAGCCAACGAATTTGTCGTGGGTTGAGGAGGGGCTGTGCGCGGAGGTACTGTAGTGATCGGTGGTCTGTCCGTACTGTCACGTCTGCGCCGGTCAAGTAGCAGCGCCACACTTTGAACGCATGCACGATCGCGAGCATTTCGCGGTCGTGTATCAGGTAATTTCGCTCGGGCGGATGCAGTTTTCGTGACTCGTATGCGATGGGCTGTAGGCCGTTGCCGAAGTCCTGTAGCAGTACGGTGTCAGATTTATATGACAGAGCTACTGTAGGCTATAGTGGGGTAGCACATATGGGGTACAGTTTTCTAGGGTTTGTATTTTGTACCCAACTTTCCCTTAGTCATTCTCATTCCTTGTTTCTTCTCATGGTATCGAGCAGGTTCCCTCGTGGGAACTGTTCCTAGGGCCCACCGTTTTTTTTTTTTCCTGCCCGGAGCGCACTCAGCCCCTGCCCGAGTCGCGCTCCCCTCTCTCGCGCCGCCCTAGCGGCCCCTTCGCGCCGCCCTCGCGGCCCCTTCGAGCCGCCCTCGCGGCTCTGTCGCCCTACCCTAGCGACCCCGCGGCCCCACCCTCGCGGCGCCGGCCGCCTCCCTTCGCGGCCCCGATCCGCCGCCCTCGCGGCCCCGCTCCGCCGCCCTCGCGGCCCCGATCCGCCGCCCTTCGCGGCCCCGATCCGCCGCCCTCGCGGCCCCTACTCCGCCGCCCTCGCGGCCCCGATCCGCCGCCCTTGCGGCCCCGATCCGCCGCCCTCGCGGCCCCTACTCCGCCGCCCTCGCGGCCCCTACTCCGCCGCCCTCGCGGCCCCGATCCGCCGCCCTCGCGGCCCCGATCCGCCGCCCTAGCGGCCCCGGCCCCTGCTCCTACGGCCCCGGCGCCTGCTCCTACGGCCCCCACGCCTACTCCTACGAGCAGCCCAGCCGCCGAGCCGCCCAGCAACCGAGCAGCCCAGCCGCTGAGCCGCCGAGCCGCCCAGCAACCGAGCCGCCCAGCCGCCGAGCCGCCCAGCAGCCGAGCCGCCCAGCAGCCGAGCCGCCCAGCCGCCGATACGCCCAGCAGCCGAGCCGCCCAGCAGCCGAGCCGCCCAGCCGCCGAGCCGCCCAGCAGCCGAGCCGCCCAGCAGCCGAGCAGCCGAGCCGCCCAGCAGCCGAGCCGCCCAGCCGTCGAGTCGCCGAGCCGCCCTGCAGCTGAGCCGCCCGAGCCGCCCTGTCCGGTAAGAGCAGCGCCTCTCTCACAGCACTGCCCTCACCCTACTGTTTGCACTGCTAGTCTAATGCTGTCATGGCTACCCCTAGTGTCCTCGCTTTTGACGCTGAGGGTCGGGCCATTGACTTTGAAGTCTGGATAGATGACCTGCAGCTTTTCTTACAGTGCGATAGGGCAGACGGCCTCTCCCTCTTTGACCTCACTTCTGGTGCCTCTCCTGCCCCCGCTGCTGATGCTGACGCCACTGTTCGCTCACAGTGGGCCACGCGCGATGCTGCTGCACGTCTTGCTGTGCGTCGCCACCTACCTACCTCTGAGCGTGCGCACTTTAGCCAGTACAAGAGTGCTCAGACCTTGTACGACGCTGTAGTTGCACGCTACTCCTCCCCTGCCACTGCTGCACTGAGCCGCCTCATGCTACCGTACCTCTTCCCTGACCTTGCTGCCTTTCCCACAGTCGCTGACCTCATTACGCACCTCCGCACTAGTGACACTCGCTACCGCGCTGCGCTTCCTGCTGAGTTCTGCGCCAAGAACCCCCCCCCCATGTACATCACCCTCTACTACATAGTCACCCGTCTCCCTGACTCCCTTCGCGTAGTCAGGGACCACTTCCTCTCGGTTTGCCCCACCACTCTCACCGTTGACCTCCTCGAGAAGGCCCTCCTAGCAGCAGAAAAGAGCATAGTCGCTGTAGGAGCCTCTCGTGGTGACCCTCGCACCCCCATCTTTGAGGGGTGTTCCCCCTCCCCTCTTTTGCCCTCTGTTGCCTCTGTTGCTGCGGCCGACCTCGCTGGTTTGGAGTCGGTTGGGGCAGCGTCTACCCCTAGCGGGAGACGCCGCCCTGGCAAGGGCAAGGGGGGCAGGGGCGCTGGAGGAGCTAGCGGGGGCGGTGGAGGCGGCGGTGGAGGCGGTGGAGGAGGTGGGGGTGGCGGTGGGGGTGGTGGCGGGGGTGGAGGTGTAGGTGGCGGCAGTGGAGGCGCAGGCGGCAGCGGCGGTGGCGGAGGGAGCGGAGGTGGCGGCGGTGGAGGAGGAGGCGGCGGAGGAGGTGGAGCTGGTCGGGGTGGCGCTGCGCAGAGGGTCGGCTCCGGTGGTGGTCAGCGCCAGCAGCAGCAGCAGCAGCGCACTCGTGACGTCCCCTCCCCTCAGCAGCTCCGTGAGCGGTACACGGCACGCCAGAGGGGTGGGGGTACTGGTCCGTGCACCTACGTCCTGCGCATCGGCGACCGCGCGGGTGAGCAGTGCGGGGGTGCGCACTCCACCCAGCGCTGCTTTGGCCGCCTGACGGACGCTTGGCGTCACCAGTTCCCTGAGGCCACTGAGATCCCCCGCTGGGGTGAGCTGTCTAGGGCGGGTGTAGCTGTCTTTGACCTTGACTTTGATGCTATTCTTGCTGCCATGTATACTGTGACTATTAGTGATGAGGGTGACTGTTACCGGTGTTTTCCGCCCGACCCGGGCATTGAGACTGCTGCTCTAGGTACTGGTGAGGCTGCTGCTCTAGGTGCTAGCGAGGCTGCTGCTCTAGGTGCGTCTGCTCCCTCAGGTACTGGTGAGTCTGCTCTCTCAGGTTCTGCGTCGGCTTCGGCCTCCCACACCTTCACCCTTGACTCGGGGGCTTCTCGCTCCTTCTTTCGAGACCGCACCACACTCACGCCGCTTGGCCGGCCAGTTGCGGTCTCTCTGGCAGACCCCTCTGGGGGTCCTGTCCTTGCTCACTTCTCCACTGTCCTCCCGTGTCCGACGGCCCCCTCTGGCACCCTGTCTGGTCTTTACCTCCCCTCGTTCTCTACGA